ATTTATGTCTTTTTGTAAGTTTTTTTTAAAATAAACATCAATACAACCTAAAAAATATATTTTCATGGCATCACGCTTTCGATAGGTCCCAGTCTGCCAGCTTTTATTTCAACTTTGACATTAGCACAAGCACGCGCACGGTACAGCCACCAGTTTCACTGTCATCTGTAGCGACATGTTTCACAATTACACAAATAACGAAGGAACAAATGAATTACGGAAGCAAATATTTTATGATTGGCTACGTATGAAAGTAAATTTAAATCCAGGATACTACTGGCTTACCCCAGATGCTTTCATTTCACACACCCCCTCACCCATCCACGATTTTACGTTGTCGGTTCATTACCTAATTAGGTGCGGCTAGAACACCGTCAGCTGGAGGCCTGTTGGAAAGTGGCGCCCTGCACCGACCAATTCCCAGCTGCACAGGGCGCCCTCACAACGACCATCCACTGCACAGTGGCGCCCTCACACGAGGCATCGCTACTGCAAACAGTTGGCGCCCTCACACGACCAGTCCACTGCACAGTGGCGCCCCTCACACTACCATATCCCATCTGCACAGTGGCGCCGCTCACACTACCATCCCACTGCGCCGTACAGTAAGCCGTCATTACGAGTCGGACCTCCATCGTGAACAGCCAACGCTACACGCCCCACCGTAGAAATGGACAGTGGCCCACGTGGCGCCACCCGGAATGACGGCCGCATCGGACCATGGCGACCCGACGGTTATTCCGTTAGCAACGCAGCTTCTCGGTGAAGGTGCAAAGCCGTGCACGCTGAATGATGTAGGTTTGCTACAGTATTGTTTTAGCGGCGTTGCACACACTGCTCCGTCGATCGCTCCAGCATCAGCCTGCTGGACAGGTAACCTACAGGCATGAGAACAAGATTGACATGTTTTTGGAGGAACTATTGCATTGATATTTTTCATTCTCTAATGAACCATTTCAACCGCAGGCTCGGGTATTGCATGAGAATAGCTAAAAACCCTTTAACATTACATATATATAGATATATTAGATACCCCCGCGATATTTATCTGGAGTTACGTCACTTTCTGCTGTGAATTTGACGTTATTTTTGCTGAATTTTTTATGAAGTTAAAATTAAAAATGGCATCCATGTGTGACAAGAAAAGATACCACTTTTCTGTTTTTTGCATTGATCTTCAAGAATGGACCAAAATAAAAACCAAAAGCCCGGAAATCGCGCGAATCCTTCTGCCAAAATTCTCAATTGCTTGAACCTAACGATGAAGATGCCACGGACGATGACACAATGCTGCAAACAAACCAGCGGAGGGCCGCCACCCATGTTCCGACCGCCATAGACAACGGCCGACGTGTCATCTTGGCCGTGGCACGCACTATATGAAGATTAAGGAACTGTTACCTTGATATACTAACCCCTACAAGGATTTAAGTTCTGTTACACGGCGCTGTAAAGCCCCTTACAAAGATATAAGATCCGCTCCACATTTTTTCGATAGCTAGATAGATATACATATAACTTTGAGAATACTGATGTAAATTTTGCAAACAGCATCCCTTCCCCCTATCATCACAGCAATATAAATTAGATCGCGTAATGATGGTTTACAATTCACAGTTCAAACAGCATTATCGCTTGCTTATCTACTTAAAAATTAAATTCCATACAATTTAAAAAAAGATACACAAAGATTGTTATATATTAAAAAATTTGCAGCGGAGTCTAAAATAAAAAAATTATTAAAAATAAATAAAAAATACTGGGGTAGCTGCTAAAGAAAATTTCAAATTTAGTTAAAGAGTTCTCCAATAAATGATTCTTATTATAGAAAAAATTCATTGCTAGTTAAAGGCAGGATCGACAAAAAATTTATTTTCCCTGGTTATTAAAAAACAACATTACAATTTAACCATTTGCGTTTTTGCTTTCTTTCAGCGGGTTGTGAGAAGCCCTGCACATGATAAGGAACAGGGCTATTATTGTTACTACCTCCTACCAATAGGCCATCTCCCGCTCCATTTGGTGTCTACGATCTTTCTCCTTCTCTATAGGACATATTGCATACGTCATGAGCTTACCACCTATAAATAATGAAAGGGACATTAGACACACAGGCCTTAATCAAAGCCATCTATAATAATGATAGGACATTCGCACACACAGGGCCCTAATCCAAGACCATCTACTAAATAATGAAATGGACATTAGCAACCACACCAGGGCCTAATCAAGCTTTAATTTTTTAAAATTGTATAATACACACGGCCTAAATCCAAGCGATTTTTCATACAAGAATACTGGCGCCAAATTAGGCAACCCCTAGCAAAATGCACCAGATTACAAATTCATTAAAACGCCCAATTAGCTCCAGAGCTCTTGATGCAGATCTCCATATTATCTATCGTTATGTAGGCAACTGTTTTATAATTAAAATGCCTCATATAAGATCTGATAATCTATTATCTGAATACAATTTTAATGTTAATTATGACATATAACT